TTCAGTTTTTGGGCCTAGTGTCTTCAAGTCAGGCTAGTAAACTGATTCCCGCGTAGAAAATAGGACGCCGGCTATAAATTGTCTTTCAAGTAGTGTTTTGTTTGAAAGCAAGTTTTAAATCCCTAAAAGAAATACATTTTTCATCATAATATGAACTTAACACTATGTGCGTTGCGATTGGTCACTGCTCGTGATCTGTCAAAGCTATAACAAGAGATGAGCGTCGGTTAAAAATTGTTTTCTTTGACTCACCGATTGTGAGCCGTGGGGAAAGTGTTTGCGTTAAGTCCCATTTGAATTACGATATGCTCGGGCAAAAAAAGTCTGACTCGAGTTACTTACATTCATCTTCTTAAACTCCAGTTTTATGGCCTAGCGTTTTAGAGTCAAGCTAATAAATTGATTCCCGTGTAGAAAATAGAACGCCGCCTAAAAAGTTGCCTTTCAGGTTGTGTTTTATTTGAAAGCAAGTTTCAAATCCCTGAGAGAAATGCATTTTTCATCTTAATATGGACTTAACGCTATGTGCGTTGCGATTGGTCACTGCTCGTGATCTGTCAAAGCCATGACAAGAGATGAGCGTCGGATAAAAATCGTTTTCTTTAATTAAGTATAAAACATAATTTATCAGGGTTAGGGAGGGGCGGGGGATATTTGGAGGATGAAATAGCTTTCAGGGGAGACGGAGGAGGAATATTAATCAATCGACATTAATAGAGTAGAACAATGATTGTCGAATAACTGTAGATAATGGAGGGGTCGTAAATGAGGATTATACAGAGCCTTATGGGTTGATCTTATAAATTATTACGTGAAACAACCAAATCCGTCGACCCTTCCCCCCTCCCCATGGATAAATTATGACTGGTCTCTGGAGCAGAATTTATCCGACATGCAGGGAACTGTCCCCCCATGCAAATAAAATTAATCGAAAGTAGTTTTCGCATAATGGGGAAAGAAAAGTAAGCGAGCAGTTGTGCGACATTCATCTTGGCTGGGAAGCCGCTTGTTTGTGCTTACCACGTTTTTATTTTTTCTCTTGTTATCTCTGATTGGGAAAAAAATACTCAATTGCTAAGCATCATCGTCAAATTATTCCAGTACATGTTTTTCTCTTTGTGTCGGCTGTTTGTTAAGTAAAGTGCCAGATTTAGAGGAAATTTAGTTTTGGACGTGGTTATCTGTTAAACAGTAATAACTGAAACTCATTCTGAAATTTTCTTTTGGCGGCTGGTTATTAAGGCAAAAGTTTAACTTTACAATAGATTATCAGCATCAAATCGAGTTTATTCCCTTTTAAAATCTCTCTATTAAGAAAATAAATGAAAACAGTTTAGTTGAATTATACAAGCACCAAAACGATACTTTGGTGGCATCATGAACATAGTCTGTAGCTAAGATGAAAACCCATGGTGTCGAACTGAAATTGCACAATATTTTGATAAAATTCGATATCCTTGTAAGAATTTCATTTATCATGTATTTCTGGAAATGTAACTAGATTTCCAAAGATTATTTCGGTGAAATAGCTTTAAGGAGCGATTTTGCATGAGAGCTTCTCTTTGTCAAGTTCGCAAACATATCGGAGAGGAGTTCCGCCTCTGAATTTTCATTTCTATTTCTTTATGATATATAATGGCGCTGTACTCCTCAAATTTCAAACGTTCGCCTCAATGGTTAATACAGCTGTATTGTTTAAGCTGGAGACAAGGAACAATATGAGTCCTAAAGCTTCCAACAATCATTTTATATTTTCATCAAGCAAGGCAATCAAAACGGACAGAAAAAAAAGTTGGCTAATACAAAACAGGCAAATGATGATGTTGAGAGCTTTTGTCAATATACTTCACGCTTCTACTACATTTTTCGCACCAGTCTTTATCTTTTCGTTGTTGTTTTCTTTCTGAACCCTTCTATAATATTTGCTTTGCTTTTTCCCTGATGCTTTTTGCTGTTTGTTTGTTTTCTTTTTATCTCAGACATTTTTTAGCATGTCTGTCCTTTGGGGTTTAGATACTTTTATTTTTGTTTTCCCTTTTAATGTGTATTGTGTTTGGGCATTGTTTTCTACCGATCGGTGAAGGATGGCCAAGTCAATCATTTCGGAATTTCATAGACAAATCCGTGAAGCAATTCACAATTAAATTTATTGTAACACCAGCTTGGGCTCTCACAGTATTTCACGCATGCGTAGGCTGGCAGAGCTGCGGTAAACTAAAAAGGACATAATATAGAATATAAAGAAATAAATCAATATGTTTTCTAAAAATATCAAGTTAAGAGTTTTTTTAAGTAAGTACAAGTTCTGTAAGGTTTCCTGATCAGGAAAAAAATTAAAAAGGATGAAAGTCTAATGGGGGCCGGCATTGTGAATTTTCGACGACAACAGCCGAAAGAAAAAAACGACAAAATGCAACAACAACAACAACAACAACAACAAAAACAGATGCTTGACCCAGTGTCGCTAAACAGGCTCTTTAACCATTAAACTCTCAAAATTGATCAACATGAAACTTCTCTCTGTAATATTCCAACATTATCCAGCAAACAGGTAAAGAGAATATTCAAACTAGTTGTTAACAGTGATCTAACACCAAATTCTTAAAACTAATTTAAAAGGAACTGTTTAGCAGCTAGAGGGGAGAGTTAACGATCAGATCTTGGGAGTTGAAGGGTTAATGTGATGTGGCAAGATAAGACCTAACACATCCAACAACATATGTAAAAAGACCGTACGTTCTTTCTATAGTCAAGATAAAAATACAAAAAGAGAACACGGTAACAATTAACAAGAGTCTCATTCTGCGACGAATAGAAAGAACCTTGGCATTCTTTCAATCCATAAAAGTTTCCGCGCTTTTAATGCTTCACTAAGCGTCGTTGAATTTATAAAGAATACTTTTATATCTTTGGGAAGTCTAAGATCGCTTAAATGGATGTGATCACGGCGAAGAAGGGCAACATGACTTCAAGACAGAGTCATCTTTTTTATTTCTGGTCGGAGGCCTGACGACAGTTCCCGACGACGCGAGGGGGGGTAAAATTCGCCTCGCGTGATAAGGAGAACTTTCGTGCATATTTCCGTTTCTTGTCCAGTGACCAAACTTTGCTCTGAAAAAGCCCTGGCGGAAATTTAAACTGTTTTGATTTCGTGTCCTAGCAGCGAGAGGACTGTTCAAAAGGATCACTTTGTGAAGCTTTCCTGAGGTGGAAAATAATTTTTTTCCTTTCAACAAATCAAAAATTTGGCGTTGTTATAACAACTGCTAATCCACACAGTGAGTCATTTCTGAAACTAGCAGCGGCAAAAGTGTCCTCGTCTGGGGTCCACAATGCTTGAGCCGCCATTTGTATCCCGCCGTCCCTCACAGCTCCAATGTACACGAGGCAGGCTATTTTCCGCTGGCCACATCCGCTCGTTTGTTTTTCACCATCGCTGCTACCACAAAGTCGCGTTATTATCTTACTTATGCTCCTGCTCGCCCGATCGCAGCTTGTCGGGGAGTAATCATCCATGGTTAGCAGATGCGACCTCAAGACCTCTTCCAAAATTCCCTGCAAGTGAAAATCATCTGGTTTAAAAAAGTCACCCGTGCTATTCTCTTTGCCGTCTGAGTCCCCTCGGAGTCGATTTGCCTTGATATGACGGCCTGATAACACAAAATTGCTCTTAGCGTCTGAGGTGGTTAAGTTTTCCAGATTAAAAGCCAGATCTTGGATTTGGTTTGAGAAGTCATTAATCATTGTTTCGTAATCATTCACCAGACCATCTTCTTCTTCTTTGATTGGCACACCAGTTGGATCTGATCCACGTCTTTCTCTCTGGGCTAAATGTTCGTACGCTTTGCTGAAAGAAGGATACAGCCTTTTGGCCAAACGAGCATCTTTTCTAGGGCCTACTTTGGTCTCTTTGTTTTGAACCGCGTCATGATTAGAACCGATATGTTTAAAGCACGTATTGGATGCTGTCGCTTTGCTGAAAAGATGCAACGGCGACACTGCCTTTCGTTTCAGTTTCGGACGCAACTTTTTCAAACTTCCCTGACCTTCGAAATTTTTCTTGAGGTTTTTCTTGCCTGGGATTGTGGGATCTGAAAGTCTTCGTCTTTGGCTGGGAGAAGATTCTTTTGTTTCGGCCGCTGAACTTTGAGATAAGCTTCTTAGAAACATTTTATAACCTCGTCCGCCTGCGGGAGAGTTTTGCGGCAAACGTGACATTTCTGTGTCGCTTGCAAGTCCTTCAAGTTTGAAATTCCTGACTCGTTCCTTTTGCAACTCACTTTTTCCAAATTTCTTGTCGATGGAGAACCAGTTTGTTTGTTTGTGACTGTGACCGCTTTGTGAATGCTTTTTCTCCAGACTGGCCGGATTTTGCACTTCGGAATTAGTGGTTGAAGATTCATTCTCCGGACCAGAAGAAAATGTCAAAACTGGTGTTATCTTCAAAATGACGTGGATTTCGTCATCATTATCAGATCTCGAGAGATTTCTCGCCTCTTCCTGCTGATGTTCGTGTTCGGTAGTCATAACTTTTGCTTTCAGTCAGCTCTGTTTGTAAATCGTCAAGACGCTTCGTAAACAAAAGAGCTCATTATAGGGCAGAAAACAATGGCTTGTCCAAATCACTTTATCGCAGCTTTAAGAGCTTTGTTAGCCTCTTTTGTCGCGTTTATGAAATCATTGCTCTAGCAGTTGACAGCTTCGAAAATGAAAACCAACAAGATAATATTCTTTCCTAGTAATCTGAAAAAAAATACATTTTCAAGATAATTTTAGAATACATTGCAAAAACGCCTCTGAGAAAATGATCTTTACTTTATTTGTTGAGATTACGTATTTATGCTGTGTAATTCAACTGATTAAAAATTCATTCCAGCGTGAAATTAGAAAAAGATTACTCGTAAGTTATTTCTATAATCTATTAATACTTAAGAAGACGCAAATCTGTAAGAAGCAATAGCAATGTCTCGAAAACTTCTCCTGTACGGCATAGTGGAGTTTCAGAGCTTCAAGTTGTCAAATTAATCTTTCTGAAAATTATTTGTTTTCATCCTCGGACCACCATGTTCTTTCCGAGCAAATTGAACTTGCCCAAGGCAGGACTCTGTCGTTGAACATAATGTTTGATGACTCGCTTTCTGAACTGCTCGGTTAAAATGCCCGTTTCAGCCCGCATCGTCCTATTGAAGGAAAAAGAGTTATGATTCCAAATTGGCTGAATTAAGTTTCAGTCATTCATAACATCATTCTTAAAACACTAATTAATGTAATCATCAATTCCGAAAAAAGCATTGCCTGTAATTTCTATATCAGGATCAAAACAAGGCAGCCCTAAGCAACTCGATTGTAAAGTTGTGTTTAATATTTAAAATGAATTACTACTGAAGGAGATGCGTAAACTATAAAATAATATATCAGAGGATAAAAAGCCGATCGAGAGCAGCTCTTGATGGATTTTTATTGTTTTTTATCGGCGAGATCCTTCAAGACTTCTCAAGAGAGGCTTCAAACACACAAACATGTTTGTATAATTAATATGACAATTAGTCCCTTATAAAATGAAAAAACCATTGAAACGGAAAGATATTGTTTCTCAGGAAATAACTCAGTGAAACAGCATACTCGGTTAAAGAAACTAAATTTACTCCCTGCTGAATCTTGTCAGGGAACCCATGACCCTTCTAAGATAAATTAATTACGGCCAGGTTTATGGAAAAATACTACATTTACGACTACTATATAAAACAAATGTTAAGCTTAAGGGCAAAGGCTGAAATGTATATGATATATTTTAATATAGAGGGTACGTTTCTAAATAAAACTGTAGTACTGCATGCGTCGATGGGGGGTATAACAAAGTAATTTGGTTTTCTTAACTTAGTTGATATAGTCAATTGGCCACCGTAAAGAATTCCTAATGCCGCTGTTGCGAGCGTTAGCCCTTCGCCAAAACGACACGCGAAGTGCTAACGCTCTAAAAATCATCCTCAGGAACTTCTTGACGGTGAAAAATTTACATTATAGTATTGTGGTTGGTTTATTTTAAGCCTTGTGACTGAAGCGAAAGATCCGGTTTTAGTGAGTGACAAAGGTTTCCTCTTCGTTTTTTGCTTGTAATGCGGCCGAACCTATGGCCCTAAGCTATCTTATATTAAACATATTCCTAAAAATCTTTTAAGAATAACTTTAAGAAGTAGAGGTCGAGAAAATCACTCAACTCCAAACTTAAGAGTTTTTCTTTCTCGGCTCAAATGCGCCGCTGTCCAGAGAGGAAAGGTGAGCTAGCACAGCTATCAAATGTCAAGCACAAAAAGACCGATTTTGCTCTATTTTCGCACGGGAAAATTTCCAAATAAACATAAAAGAAAAAGTTACTACACGAGCAAATCGATATACTCATAGAAATTTGAAAAGGGAAACAAAAGTACGAAAAAGGTCAAGTTCATTCGAAGACTTAATAATGCATTCTTACACGTAGTAACGTTTGAAAGCTGTGTAACGTGGGCCCAGTGGACTGAAATGACTATGAAAGTCAATGTTGAGCAGCTCTTGCGTACGAAACAGATGATCACACTCTATTTGGGTGAGTGACGTATTGCGTTTGTTGGGAAAAACTCAAAAGATGAACAGAGGAGGTTAACTTTACTCAAGTCAAGGCACTAAAGGGATCAGTACGTGGTAAGTACTGTTTTTCAAAACAACTAATTAAATTCCATTTGCTGTTGTTGGCTCTTCATTGGCTTAACTTCTAGATCAAAGAGTCGTCTTTCAAATTGTTCCAACTAAAAAAAAAAGCATGAACTGAGTGAGGTTAGTACTACATTTGTAAATGATTCAGTACAAAAAAACACAGACTAAATCGATCAATTAACACGATCGAGTTTAACTAGGACTGCAAGTGATAATTTTATCAAATAAGGCTTCCTAGTCTCAAATCATTAAATTCTGACATCCTCTGAGTTTGCTCTAACGCTACGCTATTGCACCATCTTTACGCAGAATTCCAGCCATATTGTGGGAAAATTGCTCACAGTTTGTCTTCGAACTAAATACAGATCATTTGCTTTCCCCACGACTGAAGGGAAAATGAGGAGAGATACGTTGCCATTTTAACAAAATTTTTAAGCGATATCGCGATTTCATGCATTTCAGTTTTGAACTTTAGTTTCTTTTTACTGATGTTGGAATTGAGCTTGTTGAAATGTAATAAATCTATTTCACTTCACAGGGAATTTCAGTTCTCATTATTCATTGCATTTTACCACAAGATTAAGATTCAGTTGGAAGTTCTGTCTTGAAACGGTAAGTTATCTGTAGATGGTGACTAACGTTAACCAATAATTGTGATTTGCGCGATTGAAGACAAACTTGATAAATGAGACAAATGGATTGGGTTGCATTCTATCGGTGCTTTACTCTAAGATGCCACATTATTAACTACTAGTTACTCTTGAAGGCTTTGAAGTGTTTTAAAGAGAGAAGATTAAATTCAGTCATATCTAAATTTTAAGCAAAATGATAACTTGGGGAAGGAAGAGCGATTAAAAAACTCGAATCACACTTACGAAGTAGAATCTTTGCATGGGAGGACGAAATTTTCGTTAAAATGCGCAAAAACGGTGATTCCAGTAGTTTTTTGTGTGTGTGTGTGTGTGTGTGCGTTTATATGTTCTCCTTTATTCGGTCATGCGACTTTCAGTTTGAAAAGAGTGCATCGTGCGATTATACAAATAATGATGGAAATTCTACGAGGAAGACGTTTTTTAGTTTTCATTCGTAAAAAATAAGTCCATAAACTTTTTCCTGTTCAGGTCAAGTTTTTCTTTTTTTTTTTCCGAAGCTAAAAAAAAATTACCGAGAACGAGTGTTTTTTGGCATCTCATCAGAAAATTCAATCCAAGAATAACTGATGCCTCTTTTTGCGATAAGAATCATTTGATTTCTCTGAACTTGGCGGAAAGTTTCACTTTCCAGGGCAGTGCATTTAATGGTTGGGTGAATGGATTTATAGAAGTATAGAAGCACAAGCTTTAACTGTCTTCTGATGATAGTAAAGAACAAACAAAAGATCCTCACATCCGACAAAGGGGGGGCCTGTTGGAGCAGGAATTTTTAGCAGGTTTACAGGAAGCTGATGGATTCTGTAACATCCTGTCACTAGAATTTATGGGCAAACCAGGATGCTTTATTAATACACATTGGAGGGAGGGGAGGGGGCTACAAGCACCCAAAGAACCCCCTCTTCCTTGGATACTCCCCCGTGAAGGTCATTCCTTCGAGGCCAAATTGTGAAAACTGTAAAATTGCTGAAAATAGAAATTAATTAACTATCAGATAAGCTAAAGAATAACATAATGGGCTGGGGTCTTTTAAGTTCACTCATGCAGAATGAACGAGTGGTGATATACACATTCAACAAAATTGGAAAAGATTTGAAAAATATATCTTCACACTAAAAAAAGGAGGTTACAAATAGGGGGTGGGGGAACCTTAGCTCTCACATGATATTATATTTATGAAATCCAAGATCAAAAATAGTCTTACCCTCGAAAGGAAAGGGAAACAGAATATATATATAGATGCATTTTTTTTGTTAAAAAATTCTTGATGTTAAAGAATGTAAAAATGGCCGATCGAGCTCGAGGGAGGTGTCACGACTATAAAAGACTTGATAGCGTCGAGTTAATACATAATATCTGGGTACTGATCCTTTCGCTGCAAAACATTACAAGAGTTTTACGCTTTATTCCATGATTGCTCTAATTAATTACACTTCAAGTAAACACAATCGGTGTCTTTTTTGACTAAGCCCTGAACCTTTCTTGACGAAATTTTGGCGAAGAAAATTTGACTCGGCACAACAAGCAAGTTGTTGCTATAAGAGTGATCTAGTCAGTATCTCAATTATCCTTGGCTTCATACTGTTTCATTAAGTTATAGCATGACAAAAGGACAACACCTTACAATAATTCCCGACTTTTCACCTTGCGGTTACTGTGGTTTCTCCTCTTCTTTTTAATTAGAAGATACTTTTGTATTAGTTCTTCATCGACTTATATCAAGGTCTTTATCGAAAGGAAAAGGAATTTTTCTAGCTTCAAATAGTGGTTTGATAGTGACGCTTTTGAGGATCCATTTTCATTTTCTATTGGTCTCTGATTTTTAGATTTGTACGATAGTGTAACGGGCATCCCAAAAGAACTGAGGAAGGGCGATCGTTTTTGCTGGAATAAATCAAATGAATGCGTCCAAATGCCCCTTCCCTTTCGCCCTGATTGTGGTGGATTTTGATTGTATCGCGATATAAATTTACTTGATCCCACCATCACGCACTGTTATATTCTCATGACCCTCCATAATTGGCAGTTGATTTTTCTACAACATCCCCTTTATACTCTTTTGACAACGACTGACCCCTCCCCCCTTCCGTTCCCGTGAAAATCACTTCACTTCCACCCCCTCCCCCCAAGCGATAGGAAATGGTTGATCTCTAAAACAATCGAAATCTCCAAGGCCTGTCTTGTTAACGAGCAGTTCTCCATTCCTAGCCAAAAACACTGACAGACTAACTACCAAAGCCACCATGATAAACAGCACACTAGAAATTGTAAAAGCCATCTGTATTGGTCGCATGGCCGCTGTCTTCCTTCGCAACACTGGTCGTGTGATGAAAGCCATCGAGTTATGCCAGGAATATTTGATTTTCCTAAACAGCCAAGCACTGATTAAAGATATTCGATTAGCCAACTTACTTTTCCGTGCTATCTACCTCGTGATGATCAATTCGTACGAAGCTATGCATGAGTATGCAATTGCCGAAAAATACCTCAGGGAGCTACTTTTCATGAACCAAACCTCGGATGACACCGTCGATAAAGGATGGCTAAATTTACGACTGGCACGTACACTTCGGGCACAAAATAACTTACTTGAGGCCAGAAAACTTTATGAATCAGCAATAAACATTATAAAAAGGAATGACAATACACGGACAAAAGTGCTTTTTTACGAAGATATGGGAACACTACTCCATGACATAGAAGAATATGACAAGTGTGAAACATATCTACTAAAAGCACTTGCTATTTCAAAAGAAATTTGCGACAGGGATGGAGAAGCGGCAAGCTGCGGAAACCTCGGAACACTGTTCCAGTCGCTTGGTAAATATTACAAGGCCGGAGAATATCAAGAGAGAGCACTCGCTATTAGAAAAGAAATTGGCGACAGGAGAGGGGAAGCGACAAGCTACGGAAATCTCGGAACATTGTTCCAGTCGGTTGGCAAGTATGACAAGGCCCGAGAATATCAAGAGAAAGCACTTATTATTAGAAGAGAAATTAGCGACAGAAAAGGAGAAGCAACAAGCTACGGAAACCTCGGAACAACGTTCCAATCGCTTGGTATGTTTGACAAGGCCCGAGAATGTCAGAAAAAAGCACTAGCTATTAGAGTAGAAATTGGCGACAAAAAAGGACAGGCAACAAGCAACGGAAAACTCGGAATATTGTTCCATTCACTTTGTAAATATAACAAAGCCCGAGAATGTCAGGAGAAAGCACTAGCTACGTACATAGAAACTGGCGACAGAAAAGGAGAAGCAAACAGCCACAAAGACCTTGGGATATTGTTCCTATCGCTCGGGAATTATGACCAAGCCCGAGAGCATCTAGAGAAAGCACTCGCAATCCAATTAGAAATTGGCGACAAAAAAGGAGAAGCAACTAGCTACGGCAACCTTGGAGCATTGTTCCACGTCAAAGACAATTATGACAAGGCCCGGGAATATCAGGAGAAAGAACTAGCCATCAGAACCGAAATTCACGACAAAAATGGAGAGGCATTATGTTATGGAAGCTTAGGATTACTGTTCCAGTCCCTTGGAAAATACGATAAGGCGCGAGAAAATCAGGAAAGAGCACTTGCTATTGCAAAAGAAATTGGCGACAGAAATTTAGAAGCATCAAACTACGGAAACCTCGGAAGATTGTTCCAGTTGCTTGGTAAATATGACAAGGCCCGAGAATATCAAGAGAAAGCACTCGGTATTAGGAAAGAAACTGGCGACAGAAATGGAGAAGCATCGAGCTACGGAAACCTGGGAACACTGTTTCAGTCAATACATCAATTCGACAATGCCCGAATATATCAGGAGAAAGCTCTTGCTATTAGAATAGAAATTGGCGACAGGAATGGAGAAGTAACAAGCTACGGAAACCTGGGGACATTGTTTCAAGCCCTTGGTAAATATGATAAGGCCCAAGAATATCTGGAGAAAGCACTTGCTATCATTAGAGAGTTAGATAGCAGCAACAGAAATAAAGAATCGACAAACTTGGGAAAGGTAGGAACATTGTTCCAAGCACTTGGTAAATATGACAAGGCCCTAAAAGATCAGGAGAAAGCGCTTGCTATGAAAATGGAAATTGGCTACAGAAGACTAGAAGCAGTATGTTATGGAAACCTCGGATTACTGTTCCAGTCCCTTGGAAGATACGACAATGCCCGAGAAAATCAGGAAAGAGCACTTGCTATTGCAAAAGAAATTGGCGACAGAAATTTAGAAGCATCAAACTACGGAAACCTTGGAACATTGCTCCAATTGCATGGTATATATGACAAGGCCCAAGAATATCAGGAGAAAGCACTTGCTATTAGAGGAGAAACTGGCGACAGAAATGGAGAAGCATCGAGCTACGGAAACATGGGAACATTGTTTCAATTACTAGGTCGATGCGACGATGCCCGAATATATCAGGAGAAAGCTCTTGCCATTAGATTAGAAATTGGCGACAGAAATGGAGAAGCAACAAGCTATGGAAACCTGGGGACATTGTTTCAAGCCCTTGGTGAGTATGACAAAGCCCAAGAAAATCTGGAGAAAGCACTCGCCATCAAATTAGAAATTGGTGACAGATATGGAGAGGCAACTATCTTGGAAAACCTCGGAACATTGTTCCAGTTGCTTGGTAAATGCCACAAGTCTCGAGAGTACCAGGAGAAAGCTCTCGCTATTACAATAGAACTTGGCAACAGAAAAGAAGAAGCAGTATGCTATGGAAACCTCGGAGCATTATTCCATACCCTTGGTAGATATGACAAGGCCCAACAATATCAGGAGAAAGCACTTGCTATCCGATTAAATATTGGCGACAGAAATGGAGAAGCAAAAAGCTACGGAAACCTAGGAAAGTTGTTCCAATCGCTCGGTAAATATGACAAAGCCCGAGAGTATCAGGAGAAAGCACTTGCTATCACAATAGCAATTGGCGACAAAAATGAAGAAGCATCGAGCTACGGAAACCTGGGAACACTGTTGCAATCACTAGGTCAATACGAGAAGGCCCGAATATATCAGGAGAAAGCTCTTGCCATTAAAAGAGAAATTGGCGACAGGGATGGAGAAGCAACAAGCTACGGAAACCTCGGAACATTGTTCCAGGTCTTAGGTAAATATGACATGGCCCGGGAATATCAGACGAAAGCACTAGCTATTAGAACTGAAATTCGCGACAGAAATGGAGAAGCAACAAGCTTGGGAAACCTCGGAATACTGTTCCAATCAATTGGTAAATTTGACAAGGCCCTAGAATATCAGGAGAAAGCACTAACCATTGCAAAAAATGTGGGCGACAGGGATGGAGAAGCAGCAATTTACGGAAACCTTGGAACATTGTTCAAAACCCTTAGTAAATTAGACAAGGCCCGAGAATATCAGGAAAAAGCACTCGCAATCCGATTAGAAATTGGCAACAGAAATGGAGAGGCAACAAGCTACGGAAACTTAGGAACATTGTTCCAAGCCCTTGGTAAATATGACATGGCCAGAGAATATCAAGAGGAAGCACTTGCCATTAGAATAGAAATTGGTGACAGAATTGGAGAAGCAGCAAGCTACGGAAACCTCGGAACATTGTTCGAATTGCTTGGTAAATATGACAAGGCCCGAGAATATCAAGAGAAAGCACTCGGTATTAGGAAAGAAACTGGCGATAGAAATGGAGAAGCATCGAGCTACGGAAATCTTGGAACATTGTTCCAGTCGGTTGGTAAATATGACAAGGCCCGAGAATATCATGAGAAAGCGCTTAACATCAGAACAGAAATTGGCGACCTGAACGGAGAAGCAAAATGCCTAGGAAACTTCGGAACATTGTTTCAGACGCTTGGTGAATTTGAAAAGGCTCAAGAATTTCTCGAGAGAGCACTAAGTATGTGTAAGAGAATAGGCAACAGAAAAGATGGGGCGACCAATTATGGAAACTTAGCAGCTCTGTTTATTTCTCTCGGTAAATACCGAAAGGCTGACGAGTATTCAGAGAAAGCACTGGCAATTAGATTACAAATTGGTGACAGAAGAGGAGAAGCAACAGATTACGAACATCTTGGTAGAATTTCCCTTCAGTGTGGCTATTATGACAGGGCTCAAGAATATTTCAAGGATGCCCTTGCAATTCAAATGGAAATTGGCGATAGAGAGGGAATGTTAAACAGTTTCATGGGTTTGGGATTGTGTTTTCAATCGCTTGATGAATATGACGTGACCGAAGAATACCTCAAGAAGGCTCTCCTTTTAAGCAGGGATATTGGAAACAACTTGAAAGAATTTCACTGTCTTTGTTGTCTAACGATATTGAAGTCACTTCAAAATAAAGTTAAAGAGGCCCTCTCGTGGTCTTTTCAAAGCATAAAAAAATTCGACACTCTGCGAGATTTTCAGGAACGCAACGATCAATTTAAAACATCCCTTTTAGAGGAGCACGGTGCTCCTTCCTACAGGTGGCTCAGTGTCACGCTTTCTTCTGCCGATAAACCTAAAGACGCTATCTATGTCGAAGAGCTGAGACGGGCGAGAGGCTTGGCCGACTTGATGGCAGCTCTGTACTCTATTGAAGAACAGATCTTAGGGAACCCACGATCATGGTGTGGCATTTGTAAAATTATCACAAGAGAGTTAGACTGCGCATGCCTGTACGTTTCGGTAGAGAAAGAAGAAGTTCGTTTTTGGATTCTCAAAGCAACGGGAGCCATTCATTTTACCGAAAAGAAGGTGGACCTTGAAGCAAACGTGCTGACCGGATTAGTGCCCGACTTAAACGAGTTTCTTAAAGAGAGCTTTCGAAGCCCTAACAGAATTGACGACGTGAATTGCAAAGATCGATATCAAGAGGACACACAATCAATGTCACTTCGCCATGGAAGCCGCCTGCCTCTGCGTGATTATGATGCTAAAGAAATCAAAGCGAATCTTCAATTATGCTACGAGATAATCATTTCTCCTGTGATTGACTTGCTTAAGGAGCCCGAGATTATAATTGTTCCCGATTCTTGTATGTACCAAATACCATTTGCAGCCCTAATTGACGAAGGTGGCAAGTATTTATCAGAGAAATTCCGACTCCGAATCGTTCCGTCCTTGACGACTCTCAAGCGTATCCAGGACAGTCCTCCAGACTATCACAGTAAAACAGGTGCGCTGATAGTGGGTGATCCTGAAGTGGGAGATGTGATTTGTAATGGAAGACGCATGACATTCACAGCATTGCCATGTGCAAGAAAGGAAGCAGAGATGATTGGAAGACTTTTTGGCGTAACACCTTTGATTGGAGACTGTGCGAAGAAGCAAGCCGTTCTTCAAGCTATAAATTCGGTGAGTCTAATTCATCTCGCTGCCCATGGTAATGCCGAAAGAGGAGAGATTGCTCTCTCTCCGATGCGCCCATCTCTCTCTATTCCACGAGAAAAAGATTACGTTTTAACGATGGCGGACATTTCAAAAATCCAGCTACGGGCTAAACTGGTGGTACTTAGCTGTTGTCACAGCGGGCGTGGAGAGATTAAAGCCGAAGGAATTATTGGAATCGCTCGAGCCTTCTTAGGATCGGGTGCGCGCTCCGTGTTAGCGGCGCGCTGGGCCCTGAACGACGTAGCCACGGAGCAGTTCATGACTTGTTTCTACGAGCACCTGTTCCGTGGTGATAGTGCCAGTGAAGCTCTTTACGAGGCCAGAAAGTGGATGAGAAATAACGGCTTTGACAAAGTTTCACAATGGGCACCCTTCATGCTCATTGGTGACAACGTGAAATTTAATTTTGAACAGTGCCCACCGCATCATTATTGCCATGAGTCGAGTAAGCCTTCTGTAGATGAAATGGACTAAGAAGAGCTAGAGACTATCGATTTCCGGCGTACATTATCAGCAAGGACAAATCGGATCGATACACATAACAAAACATTCTTGTAAAAAGCTCATTTGATATCTAAGTTTAACATTTGGAGGCAGGACGGTCCTTAATGTACTCTTTATAAGAGTTAAGCTCGTTTAGAACAAACTTCAGTATACCATATTTTGTAAAAGTGATAAGTTCACCCGCCAAGGCAAATGAATAATAGCTAAATATTTTTTTTCTGATCAGACTAGTCGGTGAAGTAAAGAAAATTTTTTAAGTTATGCTTTTCAAAGGTGATAATTTCGTAGAGTCAAGCAGATTTTGGGTAAATGTTTGAAGTAAAGATGGTGTTTCTCAAAGTTTTTGTAGATTTACTTAAAGCTTGTAACGGGAAACTATATTCACCATATTTATAATAGAAACAATTTTTTTTTCAAATAGTGCTCTCGTATACTCACACACATACAAACAAGAAAAAAGTGCGTAAATGAAATCTAGATGGAGAGCGATATCGCACTTTATAAATGTACAGGTGCATAAGTGTGAACAAAGAGGAGGGAGACGTAAAGTTAATTTGCTTAGTTTTTTGGTTTTGCTGCCATTTAATCTAGTGGAATACAGCAGGCTGCTCCACTACAATAAAACCCGCTCGCTGTAAGATAAGACTTCACACCGTGGAGTCCTCGGATGAATGGAAGCATTTTCCACAGCCTCTGATCTCTTTCTTGCATGAAGCTTAACCTCCCCACCTCACAGTTTCATTGTTCTTGTCATTATGATTCTCAATTTGTGCTGTATCAGCGGTTGCACTTTTAACATCCTGCACCAGTCCAAGCTATTAGGGGTCTAGATTATGAATAGGGGGCTTCCTTTGTTGAGAGAGTGAGGGAAACTCGTCTCTAGGCAATTTTAAATCTGGCTAAGGTGGTAGCTACTGTTCTCACAAGGATTTGTTTGTTTTATGTATACGTTCACTGGGGCGTTAATTTCCCACGTGACTTTCCCACACAGCGTTTTGATAAACCATTCTAAGAAATTGTCTCTTTTTTTATACAAGTTCAGAGCTGTTAGCTGTTGTTGACTTAAGTCACTCTGTTGCTGAGACAGGAACGTCTGGTTAACATTTGTTCATGGCAGATCATGACTTGACACGCAACATTCCCTGAGCATTGCGTGACAGTCTTAATAACAATGTGAGTTGTGGTGTAATAATCCAATGCAACTTAAACGCGTAAGTTTCTCTATGCCTTGTACGTCTGAAATGTACCGCCATTAGATAAACCCAGTTTAAGAGGAGTGTAAGATGAATCACTGCCATGTGAGCCAGCCATACCAGGCAAGCCAGCGGATCGGACTTCAGGAATCATAAAATCACTGTCAGAGGGCCTAGGACCGGGTGGTTTGATTGGCGGTTCCTCGTCCTGTTCATTTTCTTCTTGTGAAGCTTCAATGGTTTTTCTGGCTTTGTACAGCAGCAACCCTAACAGTCCAGTGACGATGACAAGAACAGCAGACAATCCGGCTAGGCAGCCAACTGCAACTTTCAACTGATTTAAGTCGTCGGCTGAGCGAAGAAGCATAACAAAACTTAACGTTAAAAACATACATAAGAATTAAATGAGAATTTTGCGGTTAATACAGCACATTTGAAGACAAATTTCGAAATGTTATTTGTTTTTCTTTGGAAGCTTGAACAATTGCAAGTAGTAAACGTTCATACAGATACTCTTTCCTAGTAACGGAGAACATAAAACAAACTTTTTTCAAAATCTTGATCCTAATACTACAAACATGCCTATTCAATCACCTTCTTAATTTCGTTACGGTAAACGTACTTTTGTTTTATTGGAAAAAAAATAGTGCTTTGTTGACCAATCACTGTGTATATAATTCACATCATATGATTGACTGACCCGTCAAAGCACAAAAAAGGAAAGCAAAATAACGTATGCTCACCATTCGAGACCCTCATTTTCATAGAAGTCGATCCCAAGGCATTTTGGGCTTTACATTCGTACACTCCGAAATCATCACCGCTGACTTCTGGTATGTTCAAGATGTTTTGTGATTTAGACCGCTGACCATGTAGAGGCTCGCCGTCCTTGTGCCATGTAATGTCACCAAATGTCGTATTAGCTGTTTCACAGTGCAACGACAAATGATCTCCTTTTTTAATAGATATCTCTCCTTCGGTTCCAGTTACCCACATCTGATTCAGGACGGGAGGGACTGCGGAGGAATTGAGAATTTACCAATAACTAAGAGTCGTGGAGAAGTAGAGAAAGCGATAACTCTACTAAACTTTCAGCTCAAATATGTAGAAAAAACATTTAAATTATTACAAAGTTACACCTACCTAATGATATAACCGTAACCGACTCGACGTCATCTGGCTCAATGCCATTACTAGCTCTGCAGGTATATACATCTTGCCCCTCTGACGTCATATTTGCTACAATTAATGTCTGGCCTTTATGAATAACATTGCGGTTTTTGTACCAGTTTATTGTGGGCTCAGGACCACCTTTGGCAGCACAATTTAGAGCAAGAGGTTCTCTGGGGACTTTGGCTCTTACAGATGCTATGGGGAGGATTCGCGGAGGATCTGAAAGAGGAAAGTGTAATTACACCTTCTTTTTTTGTCCATATGAACGTTTGTCAATTATATATTACAACTCGTCATCTTTTTTTGTCCATATGAACCTTTGTCATTTACAAATTATCACTCGTAATTAAGGGCCCAAAACTTTGGGTAGGGTCGATGTGAAGTAAAAAATTTCGTTGATGGATTTTTACCACAATTGAAGTAATGTCGCAATCTGATTGGCCAATCTACCGTTGTCGATTAGAGTACAGGCAACGCTCTCGCGTCAACATGTCACGCAACGCCTTTGTCAGCTCTCAAACATGGATGGCTCGGACATCTTGTGTAAAAAAAAAACAAATCGACAGTGGTTTAGCGTGGTCTGTAATCTTATCGACAACGATGTTCGTCGTCACAGTGTCAAAATCTGTTGTGAACTCACTCGGCTGCGCC